TGGCAACCACACCTCTTTCCAGGTTGGCTGTGGGAACACGGCACTGGGAATCACAGTTATCTCCCATCCGCAGCCCTCCCAGCACAAATAGACATACAGTATGTGTAAGGTGGAAATTCTTTATCCAGAGGCAGTGAGGCCGTGGCACTGCCCAGAGCTGTGGTGCCCCATCATTGGAGGTAGCCAAGGCCATGGATGGGCGCTGGGCAGCCTGAGCTGGAGGGCAGCCAGCCCACGGCAGGGCTGGGGGTCCCTTCCAACCCAACCATTCCATGGTTCTATGGTCTTTGAGGTCTCTTCCAACCCAGTCATTTTGTGGTTCTATGAAGAAGTGCTCAAACAAGCTATAGCCAAACAAACATGGAAAGGAAAGATGCTTGCCACAGTTCACACAACTCCTGTTCCAGCCATGGTTTTTGGGGAATAGTTTAATGCTCAAAGCGCTCGTAACAAAATCCTAGAATTAGATCTAAATGTCTAATTTCAAATGGATATACAAAATATATACAAAAACTGTGCTCCACAGAAGACTGGAAACTCACCTGCAAAGAGCATTCTTAAAACTTGGTTCTGCAGAGCCATCCCGCAGCAAGCTCCTGCCTGGGGGAAGACAACCTACTTATCTGCATGTCCAACTGGACTGAATACTATCAATTCTTATCAACTCTTAGCAATTCTTTATGCATATAAACATGCATCTGCATACATACAAACACTGGTTTCTCTGGTAACATAATCAGTATGAAAGCACCACAATCTAGGTGACATACCCCAAATGCTGAAGCACTGCTTTTAGCTGATATGATCTTGAAGGTCGTTTCCAACCTTGCGATTCTATGATTCTATGAGTGTAAATTGAAGATGTACGCTGACAGCTGGGACTAAAGCTCAGATTAAGGTAGAACTTTGTGTTTCTGAAATAACTAAGAAACAGGAACAACAATTACATTGATGCACCGTGCCTGCTTTTAAGCTGTGCTGACTTAGAAGCGTGCATACTGCCAAATTTCAAGTCCCATCTTGTGTATGTCCAGGCACGTGATTTAGCACACTATCAGAATTAGTCTGAACCACACAGGCCTCTCACATGGAAGCACTGCAGGGAAACAGCACCGTGTAAGATTACTGAGTGCCAATCACTGCCCTCCCAGCTACAATAGATTATTGTCAGAAGCAGCCACTTAATAAACTGATAACATTCCTCACAACACAGACGGCTCCTCTCCAGAGCCAAAGACAATAGAAAAAATAAAGCACAAGGAAAAGACATTTAAATGTGAATTGTATCATCGCTCCATTACATGTTAGCACTCACATGAGACAGCCCACGATCTTATCTAGTGACGGTTAACCACAGGCAGGGTTGTAAACATGGATTTAACTAGTTGAGAGATCTCAGTTCCCTTCACTTTGGTATCTGAGTGTACAAGCAAACATTTCTGTTTCTGCAATGACATATGCTGCTTAAAACCACACTGTTAATTCACCACGGTCAAACTGCACTGACAGCATAAAAAGCCAACCAGGCAAGCATGGCTTTAATAAACATATCTCTTCCACCTTGCCATGTAGTTCATATCCATACAGAATAAGCAAAACCCACTGTAAGAAGCCTGATGCAACTGGGACTCCTTATCTTGCTTGCAGCGTGGTATTTTTAGCAATACTAAAGAAGATGGAAATACATTTCAAAGAAAAAACAATCATATCAATAACTAGAGGGTTAGCTTTCCAAGACCAGAGGTCTTTGGGCATACCCAGAATCCCACTGTGAAACATATTCAGGCAGGATATTAACACAGTGGATAACACAAAAATAAACAAATAGATTAGGAAATACTGCCGTGGCAGTGTAAGAATTCTACCAGCACTATACTCCTGGGCAAGGCCTTTGCAATGTCCAAACATCACCTGGTTAGGAACTCCCAACTGATAGCCAACAACAGGAGCACTAGGAGCCCACCTCCACGGCTTTTAACAGCTGCCTTTCTATTTCCCTGGTAAGCAGCTGAAATGGACCCAGAGGACATTCCTCCTTCAGACACAGCTGTCCTCAGAAATAACACAATGCTGCCCAGAGCAAAGAAAGAAAAGGAAATGCTTCATTCTCCTCCTGTGCTACCTGAAATTAACGCATCTCTGCAACTACCAAAACTGCACAAGCGTGTGCATTCAGACTTCCAAGGCCCAGAACCAACCTGTAATTGCCCTTACGCTGGCATGACAGTAGGATACAAAGGTTCATGAACATATTCATGTGCCTATTGATATTTTCAGGTGTTTGGACACCACGGGGCATTTTTTCAAGACCAAATAACCCTTAAAAACAACTAGAAGCCGTACAGCTACTTGTTGACTCTCTGTATCTGCTGTTGTTTTATTTCTGTAATGATTTCTCAGAAGATCTGACGTCAACAGCTCATCTCTGTTGAAAACACATGGCTCTTCAAGTGTTTGCTACTGCATGAAGGCTGGAAGGCTCTGGGCAGCCTGGTCTGCTGATTGGTGACCCTGCAATAGCAGGGGGATGAAACTGGATGGTCATTGTGGTCCTTTGCAACCCAAGCCATTCTATGATTCTATGAAGGCTCCAGGAGGGCTGCTGCTTGCCCTGTGCATTATTTAAAAGTGAAAATAAGGTGAGGGTTTGGTCCTGTCGTCTCTCTTCATTCCATCCTCCCTCAGCTCTGTGGATGACTGACCCCAGCCTGCAACACAACACTCATCAGAATAGGGGAAAAACTGGAAGAACACAAGGCAGACAAGTCTCACACTGAAGGCAATGTATGGGCACGACCCACGCAGCAAGGAGCAGCCTGTGAGCAGCTCAGGGCTGGGCCATGGTGACAAGCCAGAAGGCCTCAGTGCTGCACGAGCAAAGGTTGTTCTTCCCCTCCATTAATTCTTACTGAAATATCCTTCTGCACCCCTGTGTTGCAAACACAGCTCTTCAGAAAAGGCAAGTATCAGTTCTGCACACCGAATATCTCATTTCCTACAACTAACGAGGCAGAAATCCTACCTCACTTGACACATCCTTCTTCTTGTCCAATTATCCTGTAATTATTAACTTCATGCTGCTACTTCACAAAGAGAAATTTTCAAGTCCATGCAGATTAGCCGTAAATCCGCAGCTAATCTCTCAATAGTGTTTTAAACTCCTATTTTAAGTTTTTCCACATGAGACAATTTGTGTGAGTTCTTCTTAGCCGCAGTCTTGTAGATCTGCTCACCTCTACAAACACTCACTCATTTACAGCAAGGGGTTGGGAAAGAATGCACTTTTGTTTCTGCATTGGATTGTTTCGAATTCAGATCATGTCAACAATCCATCTTGCAAAAGAATGGTACTGAATCAACAGAGGCAGGTGGGAATCACACAACAGGAACACAGAACCATTCCAGTTGGACAAGACCTCCGAGATCTCTAAGTCCAACCTCACCTACCCCACCATGCCCACTGCCCACGTCCCTCCGTGCCACATCCCCACGGCTCTGGGACAGCCCCAGGGTTGCTGCCCCCACTCCCTGGGCAGCTGTGCCATGGGCAATCCATGGGGTGCAATTCTGCTTGCACTCCACAAGCACAACACTAAACAGACACGTACTGAAAAGAACTGCAGGAAGGGGTCACGTCTCCAGGCACTTGGAATAAAATAAAACTCCTGGCACATTCTGTGATCCCAGCACACCAGCGTCTGGGAAGAACCGAGGCGACCTGCATTTTGTTTAATGTTTGACTTAACTTGACAGCTTTAAAAGCCTGGACACAGGACCCACCTCTGAGCAGACAGATCTTGGAGCAGAGCTGCAGAGCTAAGATCAGGCATCTGATAATGCCCTCCATCCTGCCATTCTCAGATGGAACGTCCATCAGAGGATAACCCCAAGCCATCCTGCAGCCTCCAGGAGCCAGACACTACAGAAAGCACTGAAACGATGAGTCTGGGGAAGGTGTTGTATTACTTGAGCCAGACACAACAGATGGAGACAGCAGACTTTTGGGCAAAAAGATGGCCCCAGTGAGAGAACAGCAGTGAGACGGAGCACCCACCAAAGCTACAGGCTAAGGGAAACCCCCCCACCCATAGAAAATTACAGCCCAACCCACTTTCTTAGCTTGTTACCAGCTGAGAAAAGGAATTCTGACTCTGAAGCTCACATTTAACATCTCGCATCTATGTGGACACCAAAACTTCTTGCACGTGGTTTCAAGTAAATTGAAGCATAAGGCAAAAACAAGACCAGCAAACAAGACTTTAAGCAGTGAGGGGATATTCAGAATGCTGCCAGGTGAGCAAGTCCAGCCATACAACAGCCACGTCTGCACATCCCCATCCATTTCATAAGCTTTTAGCTCAATTTCTGCAAATTAAGTTGAGCTCTGAATGAGTGCAATTTGCCGCAACAGGTTTATTCACATCGAGACAAAGCCGGGGCAGCATTTTTCCCAAAAAGGATTAGATGACTGTAACTTCTACCACCTGCACTTATGCATGTTTAGACTGCGGGAAGGGTAATCACCGCACTGCAGGGCATGATCTGCAGGGGTCAGGAGATAATCTCCCTCGCATCTCTCCGTTTCTGACATCGCCCAATTGGCGAGGTGCATAATAGGGGATATTAGTCCTCCCCGAAGCGCTGTTATTCATCACTGCCAGAGGCAGCTCAGCGGAGCTGAGATTATGAACCACGTAGAACGGCAGCCTGTTCCTCCCAGCTCCAAAGCACTCGAAGCTGGAAGGCCACGCTGTTTTTCAGATACAAATTCGGTCCTTCTTTAAAGCCTTTGCAAATGAGAGCCTGAAGGTGCACCTTTCTGCTGCATTTCACGGGGCAATATTGAAAGAGATTCCTTTCGCACCACCGGCCTGCAGACCACGGAGGACAGCGCGTTTTTAAGCTCGTTTTGCTTTCGCTGCCAGATTTTAAACGCAGAAATATCCGCGCGGGGAACGCTTAGAGCAAATGCAGAGAGATGAAGCGAGCGCTGCTCCTACCTCCGGCGCCAGTCCTCAGTAACTCAGCACAGGTTCGGGGATTTCGGGCTTAACTCCTCCATCACCGCGGTGCCCGCGCGATGCGGCTCTGCTCCGCGCAGCTCCCAGAAGGCTGAGCAAAGCTCGCGCCCGCACGCAGCTCCGCGTGCACCTCCAGCGAACGGACGGCAGCAGACGGAGCGCCCGGCTTCTGCCCGAGGCACGAGGAGCAACGCGCCGCCGTCCTGACGACACGGAGCAGCGCCCTGCCCGCATCGGGGCCGCCACCGCCGCCTCCCGCCCCGCTCCCGCTCACCCTCTGCGGCCGCTGCTCGGCGCTGCCCCGCGGGGTGGGGCCGGGGAGGGGCGCCCATCGGGCGGCCTCGCGCGGAGCTCCCTTGAGGGAACGGCGAGGGCAAACGCTTGTGACACAACGCTGCAAAGTTCAGCTCGGTTTTATTTTCCACTGTAACGGTTTTCAAATGATACATCATGCAGTCTGCCAGCGTTCCCACCCGAATCCGATAGAACTGCGGAACGAAGATAAAATACTTATCTCCACGGGACGGGGGAAAAAGGGTTCAGATCTGCTGTCAAGAGATTAATACATTTCAGCATTGCTTGATGCAATGGCAAAAACAAAAACAAAAAAAATTTCCCCTTGTTACCAGCAAAAGGTGTCCACACTTTATTATTATTTCTTTTTTCCTAAAATGAACACTACTGTAAAGATACACAGAGCCCAGAGAATACACGTCTGCAGCACACGGCACACACTTTACAAACTAGACATGGATAATTCTACAGAACCCCTGCGGTTCTCCCACCACAAAACCTGTTCCAATGGACGAGATGGGGAGCAGCGCCCTGCAGCCGTGTCCCATCGTGCAGCACATGTCGGCCGGCGCGCTTCGCTTCACACAGGCACAGCACAGAGGGAAGTCAAAGCAAGAGGAGGTTCGTTACTCACTACTCATTAGGTTCTCCTGGCTGAAACCATCGCCATAAACATGTTTGGGTGTTTGGTTTTTTGTTTGTTTTCACTTTTTTGATTTTCACTGTTTTCAGGATAATCCGATCTCACCCTTGTTGAGTAAAACACAACCTTCAGTTGAGATCTTCCCAGGTTTAACTTTCCTTGCTTTTGGGAAAACAAGTCAATGAAACGTGAATTCAAGGAGAAACTGAAGAGGGTGGTGAGGCACTGGAACAGGCTGCCCAAGGAGGCTGTGGATGCCCCATCCCTGCAGGCATTCAAGGCCAGGCTGGATGTGGCTCTGGGCAGCCTGGGCTGCTGGTTGGTGACCTGCACACAGCAGGGGGTTGGAACTGGGTGAGCACTGTGCTCCTTTGCAACCCAGGCCATTCTGTGATTCTACAATATCACTGAGAGAAGCTCAGCTGAGCAGGAAATAGTATTTTATTCCTTGAAAAAGAACAGTACGCACTTTAGTTCCATCTGAAGTATGGCTTCCATTTGTGAAAAGTGTTTCCACCAAAACCATGCAAGACATCTTAGATGTGAAGTTTCATTTGCGCTATACAAATCACAACTTGAAAATCAGCCTAGAATAAATATGACACAACATTCAAAGAGCAAAGTAAGACAGCGTCAGGTACTGGAAATGACAAAGGACAGGGTTTGATCCCTGCAGAGCAGATGTGTGGCTTTCATTTTCTACCTATAAAATACATAGGATGGTACAAAAGCTGGATATACAATAAGCAGTACAAACTTAAATTGCCTCATTAAAATAGGCTACAAAACAAGAATCTATAAGCAGAATAAGTTCAACTGACAGACTGGATAATTTCCAATTAAGCATCGAATGTATTTCTTTTGGAGGAGCTCAGCCTGCTGCATCTTGTCAGTGTTTCAGCTATAGAAAGTTCTCTTACAGTCTTGAAGCAGAAGTTAACTTGGAGAAACTCGCACTGCTTTAGCTAGATGAACTGACTGGCTGATCAGCACTAGCACAATTAAGAGATGTCAAAGCTAACTTAGTACTCAAGCTGAAGAAATCTGTCTAAACTGTCATACATAACTGATGATAACAGCACGAGCAACTTGGGAAACTGCATTTACAATGCAACCCCCTACCAAATTTTGAACTCCAAATACAGATCAGCAGCTGTACTGCAATACAAAATCAGGCAGCAACTAAGAGTTTGGTATTAAGTAGTCTTTTTTTTTAAGACAACTGCATTAGAACAAAAACAAGAGGATAATTAGTTCATAGCAGAAGAGTAGATTTGAATTAGTAACTCTAGTAAAGGTTGCATATGGCGAGTTCACAGTTCATTTTCCTGGCAGTGCACATGCACATAAAGAAAAATATAAAACTCTGAAAAATACAAAATAAATTAAATACATGCAAATTTTGCAACTTCATTAAATATTTTTGCAAAATGCTCCCAAATATAGTGCAATATCAAAAAAAAAAAAAAGAAGTTAAATCAAGTCCAACTTACTTTGCAAGAAACTGAGTAATGTCCATAGACAAAAAAAATACTAAAGTAAATCTGCAGTATTTCAAAAGGCTCTCCATTACCTAACTAGTTTCGTGTCAATGTGAACACATTCAGAAATTAAAGAAAAAACCTGTCTCTCTCTCTCTCTCAACCTAAGAGCAAACACCTGCAGCAGATGTAGCTGTACCCTCCCTGGAGCCACACTGCTGGGTGACACGGCTAATGTGACACAGCAGCAGGAGCAGCTTCTACCTGCAGCTGTGCTCTCCCAGAAGGATTCCAGTGCCCCCTTGCTGAGAAGCTGGACGCGTTCTGCCTGGCACCAGGGAGATGAGAAAGGCTCTGAGCACAGCAGGATGGCTTGCATGTCGTTACACAAGCAGCAAGTGCATTCTTCTCCACTTGCAGCATGCTCTTCATCTCCTAAGAGGTGTGTTTCCCAGTTTGGTCTGCAAGGGACAGCTTGTGACCCGCACCTCCTCTTGGACCATCTATACCTTAACGAGGGCTATACCTGGGGCTTTTTGTTTTTGGAAGGGAGTGCCTGTTCCTGCTGGGGGCTGTTCCCTCCCGTGTGTGAATTCTGGTGTGAGCAGATCAGGCTTTCCCAAGACAGGACTTCTGCAGCACTCTGAAAGCTTTCAAAGTGTCCTGGAGAACAGTGCTTAGCAACACACGGCCAGCCAACACACTCCAGGAAAACCCACCACCATAGGGAGAACTACAAGCAGACCAGATTGTAACTTGAAGACAAGTCACACATACAGTCATGTAACTACCAAACTCCAAAAACCTAGATTTATACTAACAGATTTCTCTGCATCCCATTTGATCTTTAGCAGGTACTGCAAGAAAGGTCATTTTATACAGTCCAGAGATTTTATCAGGATTTTACAAATGGTTCTTTGGGGAAAATTTCCTTCCAAAAATGTAAGCAGTAAAATTAAACCATGTAGCAGCACATTTTCATCCCTTAAAAATATAAAATAATATGTATATTATACAGTAAATCAGTCATGACAGAGCACAATCACCTGCCTTTGATGGCACTTGGTCACCGAATAATTAATTCTTGGATGCCGGAAGGTGGGATTTACTGATGTGACAGAGGTCTTCCAACAGCATCGGGCTGAGCAGAGAAGCCCCAACCTAAGCAGTGCCAGGGGGTCACACGCCGTCGGTGCCATTCTGGGTGGCAGACTTGCTATGGGTACTGAGATGGTTACGTTAAATACATTGTACAAGTATCTGGAGAGGAGTTGAGCTGAAGACTTCTGTACACGTGGAGATCCTACGAAGCTCAAAATACCTATGGCCAGTGCGTCGCAGATGGCGGTAGGAAGCGCAGGATGAATAGAATGTGCATCAGGTTGAAGAGGGGGATAAAAGAAAGTAGTGACTTAATGATAGTCTGTAACATGCTAAGTGGGACTGACCTGTCAAAAGAGAGTGAGAAAGGTAACGGTAATTAGTGGATGTTTCAGATTAGAAAGCAGATAACGCAGCATGGCAAATAACTGACACCGACACTTGGCAGAAACTCAACATGCAGCACGCACACTGCCACGAGAACATCAGGGTAAAGCACCATCTCAGGAATTCGAGGAACAAGTCTCAATTACTGAGTCTCAGAGAGGAATTCTGACAGTTTCCAGCCCACAGATTGGCACGGTCATAACGAAACAACGGTCTTGATGAAATTCATTCTTTGCCACCTCTAACACGGCATCACGTCTTGTCTAAAGACATCCTTAAGCACAACAGAAAGGTCTTTTTCCCCCCTTTTTATCTTTCTTTTTCCTTCATGGGATTTTTCTGGACGCTGTGTTGAGGGACATGGTTTAGTGGGAGCTATTGGGAATAGGTGAACAGTTGGACTGGATGAGCTTGTAGGTCTTTTCCAACCTTGGTGATTCTATGATTCTCTCTACTGATAGGAGCTGAAGAACAGTATCTTAGTTAACAAGTGTGGAACACAACCAAGTTTGCAAAGATATTATAAAAATGAAAGGAACAAAAGACTACAAATCCAGGCAAGTCGTTCTTTTGCAAATATCTCCTGGAAAAAATGTTCTTTCCTGATGCCTATACACATACAAACACACACATAAAAATAATATAAACAATGTGAATATAATATAAATGTAAACATATAAAACATTTTATATCATATCCTGATGAGGTATTAGGAAAATTGACAGTATCATTTTACACAAAAATATTGATATTTTACAGGCTTCTTTCTCACTAATTTCATGATGGCTCCTTCCAGAAGTTCACAGTAGGGTGCTAAGTACAAAGCTGATCTGCAGTTCGTTATAAATAATTGGAAGTACCGATCTTTGATTGCTTTTGTTATGCTTTTCTCATTAGCCATATGGAAAGCGACATATAAGCAACTGAATGTGCCTGGCACTTTTTAAGTAGCTGGTTCAGGATCTTGTAAAGGGAGCAACATTTTGCTTAATTACATGTTTTCTTGTTTGATTGTTTAACACAAAAGTTTTGAGTATTAAAGATCAAGTTATTAGAAAGAATCAAGTCATCTGTGTTGTTTGAAGCAGTGGATGTTGTAGCTCCCTCCAAGTTACCATCCTCACTAACATCTTCAAGGCAAGTGGGACAGTTGGTTATTAATTCATGCATTTTATTGCCTAGATTAATCTAAACGGCCTGCCTAGATTAACCATAGTTATTCATCTTGCTTAAGGATGGGGAGGTGCTGGGAACATACCAGAGACTTCAGGATAAGGGAAGTCACATTGTCAGGAGCTTGTTTGCACAGTGTGTTTCACAAATACAGATCCCATACAACCTGGTTTAAT